GTTAGACATATTTTTGCAGGGTGTATTTAAAAAAATAAAAATGGCATATAGTTGTGCATTATGAGAATCTTTTTAATGTCCATTTTAGTTGTCCTTTAAAGATGGGAGTAAATTTTTTTTGAGCAAAATGAAAAGTTTTAAATAGTAGAAAATTTTAAAAATAAATTTCAAAAGAAAATTACTGTAATATTATTTAAGTAGGAACAGATAGTTTGCAAAGCATCTTGGGAAGGATGTGTGAGTGTGTGCGTGTGCATCTGTGTTTTCTAGTCTTATTTGATAAGGAGTTGTTTCTTTAAAGAAAAAAATTACTACATGTAGTGCTTACAATGTTTAAGAAATCCATTGGTGTTGCTGTGTAAAGATCCCACTGAAGCTTATCCAGTATAATTCTTTCCATTCTCAAGATCTCAGCTGGAGAGCATTTACAGCTGCTCTGCACCGCGTGAGCGTCTGCACTGATGGGATTACCTGTACAAAAGATTTTAAAAACTTTAAAAAAAATAAAGAAGCCAACGTCCTACACAGTGCTGTGTGTGCTTCTCTGTACTGTGAGGGGAGCTGACAAGTTAAAAGTGTGTGCTGAGCAGAACAGTCATCCAGGAGACCTCGTTCCTAGGGGACTCCCATCCTAAATGAAGAGTGGTCCCTGCTCACTCCAGGGCAGCTGCTATGGACCCAGCCCGTGGCAATAATGATGCCATGAGCCTCCTGGGCTACTGTGAGTCTCCTCAATGCTGCATCACAGAATCATAGAATTTTAGGGGTTGGTATGGACCTTATAGATCATCTAGTGCCAACATCCTGCCCTGGGTAGGGATACCTCCCCACTAGATCAGGTTGCTCAAGGCCTCATCCAGTCTGGCCTTGAACACTGCCAGGGTTGGGGTATCTAATACCTTCCTGGGCAACCTGTGCTAGTGTCTCACCACTCTCATGGGGAAAAAACCTTTTCCTAATATCTAACCTAAACTTCCCCTCCTTCAGCTTGAACTCGTTACCCTTTGTCCTGTCACTGCAGTTCCTAACAAAGAGTCCCTCTCCTGCTTCGCTGTAGCCCCTTCAGCTCCTGGCAGGTGCTCTGAGGTCTCCACACAACCTTCTCTTCTCCAGGCTGACCAGCCCCAACTCCCTCAGCCTGTGTTCATAGGGGAGATGCTCCAGTCCTCCTATCAGCTTCGTGGCCTCCTCTGGTCTTGCTCCAACAGTTCCATGTCTCAGTGCATCAGTGATGCCCTGAGCCTCCGGGGTCACTGTGAGCCTGCCCAACATTGCATCAGTGATGCACCTTCCCAGCCACCATTAATTCTGCTCCTCTGACAAGCTCGGAGGAGGCTTCCTGTCAGCCTGTTTTACAGGGCCTGCTGTGGTTGTCATGTTTCCTGTGGTCATTGACTCATCTTCTCCTTTGTAGCTGAGAGGAAAAGAAGAATAACCTCAGTGTAACACAGCCTAAGAAAGGCTGCGAAGAGCTTTTCACCGCAGCAGCAGCTGTTCAAAGAGACATGCATGCCTGACTACAATTCTTTGCTGTTCTTTTTCAAAACAGAATGCAGGAAAGAGGAGGAAAGCAATCTGAAATGCTTTTGTCTACTGTTTGTAAATGCCTGAAGAAGTCTATCACTGCATTTGTGCTGTGAGAGATAGCCTGTGTAATTTCTCACCACTTGCTGATTTTACTTGCTCATCTTGAGGTGCAGACCTGAGGCAGTTCCTCATTAGAAACCAGTTTCGTCTCCAAGCAAACTCATCTGCTTAAAGCTTCCTCTAAAGAATTTCTGCTTTGTCACACCTGCCTAACTCTCCCAGGAGCTGTAACAAGGGAATTACAATCCTCTGATGTTATGTGCATCTTAAGTGTCCCCCCAGACTCGGCTCTACTGTGGGCTATGGATTCAGAAGAAAGGAGAGAGGTTTAGGGACAGGAAGAGGGGAAACATCCATGACATAAGCAAACACAAGTCCTTCATCCATAAAGGTTACAATTCTTCCAAGCAATGATGAAACAGGACTGAAAATGTTACTGTCACCCCTTAAGGACTACTTAGGGTAAAAAAAATTAGCACCTCTTCATTATGTCCAAGTTGTTGAAAGACCTGGAAACATGAACATCTTTTAGTGCGTTTAAAATGAAACATACAGACCTCATTTTCTTCATTGGTTTTTGCTGCAAGGACAAGGCAGGAAATTGCAATGCACGGCAGATATTTTAATTGGGCCTGAAGGGAGAAGAAGAAGAAAACTGAGTAAAGAAGATAAGAAGAGCCTTGGGGGAAATAATTGACATTCTATGGCAAATGCACAAGTTTCAAACTTCCATTTAAGTTATAGTTGCTTCTGAATTAGTTCAGCTGCAGAAGCTGGAAATAGAACAAGGAAATTCAAAGTGAAACAGTATAAATCCTCTTATTGGTGACTTTTTTTTCAGGTATCCCACAAGTTTTAGACTATGCAATGCCGTAGTATTTACAATGCAATGTTAATCCTCTTCTCACCTCAGATACTAGTTCAGGTTGACCCTCAGGAAGAATTTCTTCACAGAAGGGGGTGTTAAGCATTGGAATGGGCTGCTCAGGGAGGCGGGGGAGTCATCATTCCCAGCAGTGTTTAAGAAACAACTGGATATGGCACTTAGTGCTATGGTTTAGTTGGCAGGGTGGTAGTTGGTCAAAGTCTGGACTTGATGATCTTGGAGGCCTTTTCCAGCCTTAATGAGTCAATGATTCTTTATGCCAGTATGAGCCTAAACAGAATTGAGAGCTGCAAGGCTCAGCTCAACTCCTAACTTTGCTGTTGCTTCAATGCCAGAAAAGCTCGGCCCCGTGGTTTGGGTAAAAATAGTTTTTTCAAAACTAAAATATTAGAAGTGATAATGCAAATGAGTTCTGTTTAGCAGAGACAACCAGATGATGAATTCTTTGTACTTAGCATTTGGACTACAGTTCACACAAGCACTTCTAACGTGGACTCTATGTCAGTGGAACCTCAGCAAACATAAAGGTCTTCCCCAGCAACAACCCTGACTGCTCCCTAAATCTGCTGCCAAACATAGTCCCTGCTTTGTGTATAAACTGATTACATGCTCCTTACATTCCCAGTCAGTAATCTAGCCAGGGAAAAGCTGAGAGAGCTCCCTACCTTTACGGATGCCAATAGCTGGTTGAAGATGCTGGTTGCTAAGGCAAAAGTTTCAGGGTAAAACTGGAACTTGGAGCTTATTTCTGCAATCCAGAGAACTGCTTTCTTGTAACACGACAGAGAGATATCTGTGCCCTGAGGGGAAGGAAAAGTTAGAAGAAAAATACGGTTAGTGCTTTGATGATTTTGTTAACGTATCTCCAAAGGAAGTCTCAAGTCTTTTTAAGTGCTCTAATTAGCATTTCAGATGTCTGGAGGCTTGAAATGAGGAAAGTTACTGGCTGTGTCTACAGAGAGAGGGCAAGGGCACATTTTGGAGCAGTTTAAAGCACTCATTCATGTTGCCCACCCAGTCTGGCTCTAGCTGTGCTTACACAGGCCTGGTACTGGGTTGTACTGGAGTGCTGAGTGGGGAAGCACCCAGCCCTCCCGGACAGAGGTGCTGCAAACAGGGCTGTATGTGCTCGTTATTCGCCCTCTGGGAAAACTGAAGCCTGAATACAGTACATGTTCCATTCAGCCAATCTCGACAGAGAAACTGGAGTCAGGAGCAGGTTTTGGTTTACTCTCCAAGAGTTTTAACAGCCCTTCAATTTGCTGAGTGTTGGGACCACAGAGCCAGGTTTGTGACTCCCCTAAGGCACATGGCAAAATGTACTGAATGTTTTCTTTCTTATAGCTTATTTGAAGCTGCATTCAGGTGAGAGGAAGGACCTTGACTGCCATGACAATGCTACACAGGCATGTGGCTGAACATAATTGTAGGAGAACTGAAAGAGCCAAGCAGCTATGCAGAACAGACAACATTAACCACCAATTTGTTTAGCATTGCTCATCACATTATCTGTTTCACTATATTGCTTAATTGGGTAGTAGAAATACTTGGTAAGAAATAGCATTTCTAGACTATTGCAAAAAAAACCCAAGGCTGGCAGGGCACTTCAGTGCACTCTCACGTGGTTCTGATGCACTTACAGAAGCAGCTGAGCAAAACTATTTCCATTGTACACAGAGGCCACGGAGTGTTGTAGCTTCCTAAGTTAGCAGCTTGGAACAGGGTTGGGTTTCTCCTAAGCCTTGGTGAATTTCCTTCTTCTCCCACCTTAACAGATGGAGCTCACAGATAGTGCTGAGCACAATTAACTCTGAGACAAATTTATGCTTTCACCGTTGGCTGCTCTTACCTGCTCCACCACATTTCCCAAACTACTTTACTTATCCCAAAAGTGACTACAGAGTCAGAACAAAATGCAAAGCCCCTGATTTACACGGGGCATTAATAAGATGTAAGATGAGACCAATGCAGACCCTCCTCCCCCTCCATTCCTTAAGCCTAGTCCATTCAGGATAACTTTTGCATTCAGGTGGGTCAGATGGCAGGACAAGCACTGCATCTCTGCAGAGTCCCTTAGGGAATTCCAAAGGGGACCATGGGGGATACCTTCAGGGTGAAGTTCTGGAAAACTGGCACTTTCCAAATCCTAGCTTCTCTGGCTAAGGCATTTTCCAGGAAGAAGGCAAGTCGTGAGCTCTCTGTAGGTCCAGGGCACTTCATAGCAGCTCTTTGAGCCAGTTTCCCTGATGGCAGCCCCTGTCAAAACAAACAAAATAATTATAAAGCAACATCCCAGCTCCTTGTATTAAGTATGATTTACTCTTCTGATGCCTTTCCAGTGCTGATAACTGAGGAGCAGCCATAGAACTTGTTTGTTTACAGACAGAGCAATCCTCACATCGATTTTCCTTGGAAGATCGTGATGAAAGAAAATATGACAGATGCTGAAAAACAGCACAGTTCAGCTTCTTCCCTCCCAGGCTGTGTAAAGGCTTGAGCAACCTTGGGCCGAGCAATCTGGATTACTCCATTTATCCTGTTTCACACATTCCGCTCTCCATTTGCAGAGCTATTAAATTGCAACCTGCTATCGCTTGATTTCAAGTTTCTGGCAAAGAGAGGTTTATTGTTTCCATCCAAAAGCTCAAAGATGATCATTCTCAGGATGTTTATGAATTCCCAGTTAAAGGTTTTCCTCAAAGCAGTTCAACCTTTGGGAATACCACTTTGGAAATCCTACTCTCCAGACTAAGTACGTATTTACAGGAAATAAACACCTCTGAATCATATCAGGTAAGAACTAAGCAGTGAGAACATCTCAGCCTGAAACTATTTCATTCCTATCCCATACATTTTGGTGTATCTTTAATAGCAGGAAAAATTATGTTACTAGATACAAAATTTCTTCTTTTCTTTCCTAAGAGTGATGGATGTGAGCTTCCCCATCGGTGTTTTCTGGGAGTTCACACCATTATCTCTGCAGCTCCATTAAAAACCCCAAAGTGACATGAATCCTCTGGAAACCACTCTACAGTTCTAAAGCTGGAGCTGTGTGATGTTTCCCTGAG